GTCGGGGCTCGAGTTTCACCCCAGGCGCTGAATGGGGCCGGGGTTACTCGCGGGCGCTGGCCCTTAACCCGCTCGGCGCCACTGTCTGCCGGGGTTACTGGCGGTCACCGTGCTGTCCCCTTCCCGCCCCCCAGTTCCCGCCACTTTTGTTGCCACTAGGGACAGCGGTCTGGAGTGGGAGGGCTCGAGCATGGATCCGCCCACATCACAGAGTTCTGTGCTTTAAGTCACTGTCCAGGGAGTCTGGACAGCTTCAGTTCACTCCTCGAGAAAATGGGACAGTCTCAGCTCTCTGGCATGGCCCGGAGAAGGGAGACAAAGTGTCCCATGCGCCGTCCTAAAAAAGCATTAAGGCCAACACTGCCTGGGGGCGGCTGCCGGGACTTCCTTCTCCTTAGGTAGCCCCAGCCTGGTGTCCTCTCCACCGGCGGGCCCCAGGCCACTGGCGACGCCGAGAAATGAAGCCCACCCCAAACGAAGCATCTGGAAATTCTCAAGCCTGCTCTCCCCACTCCCAGTGCTGACTTCCCTTTGCAGAACTGCCTGGGTCTGGGATGAGGTGTGCGGGTCTCAGGGTGCACCCGCACACCCATCTACAACCACCCCGACGGTCACTAGGTGAAGCCTGACCCTTTAGGGCTCTTGAGGCAGAGAGGCAATCCGATCCCTAGGGCAGTGAAGACTGAAGGGTGTCGGCCCTAAGGTGACAGGTTTGGGGTGGGGGGAGATACCTATCACCCCTTCTGTTAAAGATCAAAGTTCAACACAAACAGTCCCCGGTCAGCAGCCAGGCTGACCGTCACCAAGACTGTCCAGCCTCCCACCGCAGCGGGTCCCTGGGCAAGCAGGGGGCTGGGGCACAAGAGCCTCTGGTGGCCCCACAGGCACTACCTCCTCAGGAGCCCAAGGAGCTCTCCTTCCGCAAACCCAGCTCCCCCCTTTTCTACAGCAGCTAGAAGGTGTCAAGGAATCTCTGCTTTCCTCTCTTCTCAGTCTGTGGGTGCTCACACATCACCCCTGTACCCCCCCAAAAGTAAAACAAAACTGACTCTCATTTCACCTGAAAAATGCAGGACACCCCAGAGCTCTGTTCTTTCCTCACTCTGTTCGCCCCGTCGCCCAGTCTTGGGCCCAGAATGTGGCAGGACTTGCCTGAGACTTAGCAAGGTCAGGCCGGAGCCAGTTACCCCTGAGGGTGCCAGGCCGTGTCCCTCTCTTCCTGCTGGCTTTTCTTCCCTTCACCCACTTCACCCTGTTTTCCATGCCTCACATTTTTGTGCTGGTGGCCCCATCCCATGCTGACTGAGGAGGTGGGAAGGAAAGACCAGTCGCTTGCTGACCCCCGAGGGTAGCGGGAGTCAGGAGGCGAAGGAACGAGGATGCAAATGAAACTTGGATGCAGCAAGGGGGCCTGGGTGCCCCTCCATGTGGAAGGGGATCCCTATCCCCTGAAAATCCTGGCCTGACCAGCCCCCTGTTTCACTTTCCCCTGAACCCCAATCGGCCAGCCATTCCACAGAAGTTGGAACCCAGGGTAAGATTGGGGGGAGAGGGGAGGTCGAGGGTCACACCTACAACTGCCTTGCCCCCTCCACACACCCCAACCTAGGGGCTAGATCTTCCCTCTGCCTCTCACTTGCTGTGTCTCCCCAGGCAGGTGGTGCCCTCTGAACCTCCACCTCTGATGCCCGAGGTGGGGGGTTGGAGAAGAGTAAGTGTGGAAGGACCCACGGCTCAACAAAGGTTAGTCTCTCCACGGCTGTAGAATTAGTCAGCTGCGACACTTTCCATGGTGAGGGTGGCACCCCAGAACCATTGCCAGCAGGAGAATTAGGCCAGGACTAACAGAGGCACCCAGGGCACACAATTAAGGGACACCCCTCCCCGCTTCAGTCCTGGCGGTAGCATAGACTGGGCTCCCTGGCGTCCACCTTGCCCACCTCTCACCTTTCCAATGCTCAACACCCTCTCCTCAAGCCTCGACCCCTCCTTTCTCCTCTCCTGAGTCAGGGCCAGAGAGGAAACCTGAACGCCTCCCGCCTCGCCTTCAAACATCCTGAAGGCAGAGATGGGGCAGCCTTTTATTCTGACAGGCTTATCCTGGGAGGCCCTCATGGAAATCCTGGCCCCACACTGCAAGAACCCAGCTCTGGCCATCCCTGAAGCCTACAGCCCATCCCACCTGCACAAGAGCTTGAACTCCAAACAAAGTCTGCTTGCTTGCCTCCTGGGGCAGGGAGCTCACCACCTTCTCCACATGGCTCAGTACACAAAGCCCACACCTGTCTCTCTGACAGTATCAGGCTATGCCTGAGCCAGGCCCTGGAGGTACAAGGACACAGCACCAAGTCTGCCCTTCCTGGAGTTTGTTCCAGTGATGGAGACCAATGGCCTGCAAGTACAGGGAGGAGGAGGGAGCAGGTGGTGATGAGTTCTGTGAAGAAAACTAGGGGCCAAAATAAAAAGTGTGGGGCTGATGTAGATGAGGTGGTCAGGGAAGGTCTGATGAGGAAGTGCCATCTGAGTAGAGGCCTAAAGGAAGAGACAGAATGGGCCAGGAGGGAGAAAGAGCGACCTGGGCAGAGGCACGAGGGCAAAGGCCCTGAGGTGGGAGCGAGCTCGGTGTGATGGCTGAACAACAAGGAAGCCAGTGTGGCCGGAGCAGAGGAGGTGGGGAGGGGAGCGGTCATGAGACACCCAAAAAGTTGGGATGCTAACACAGGTTTGTCGGTCACCTGAGTCAAGGACATCGATTCTCCAGGGAGTGGGCAGGTACAGTATTTACAAACTGCCCCGGGAGACACAGGTCAAAGGTCACGCTTCCGTGGGGCACGGTCAGTGGCACGAGGCCACCGACCACACGGGACGACATGGGACAGGCCCGTGGGACCCCTCAGCATTCCTGCTCTGCCGGCCTGGTGGAGGCTCGACGGGCGGGGTGGGGCACCCCTAAAACACTGCAGGGAGCTGGACTGCACTGCCTGCCCTGTCTTGCTGCTCCCACCAGTGCCTCCTGGTCTCGCGAGGACACAGGTCAGTGGGTTCGCGTGTCCTCAGCTGCTCATGGATAAGCAGGAGCACAGGCTGCCCTTTGTGCGCTCTGGGCTGCCCTGGGGGCACAGGTGTGTGTGACTCTTCCTGGAACAGGTTGAGCCCCAGGTATACCTGGGTATGGGCTTCTGGATGGACAAGGAAGCGAAGGCTCTGAGGGAGACCATGTGGCCAAGGTCCCACAGCTGCCACGTG